ACCTTGCAATGCTTTGGAATGCAACACACCCTGAGTGGTGATACCACCCGCTCTCTGACTATCAAGATATAAACCAGGAAACACAGTTTGTTCACTGATGACGGAAATGCACACTTAGAGACAGACAGCAGGATACAAAAGAGCTTCCACTGAGAAATAGGAAATACGGATCAAGAGGGTCACTGAGAATACTTGAGTACTACGACTACTACTACTACTACTACTACTACTACTACTACCGCTACACTTCCACTAGTTGCTGAAGAGTGACAACTTTTGAGAGACGACGTTTGAAGTTTCTGTCTGCTGTGTTTTCAGCCTCACTCAGGAATGGCTGCTTGGGTAAGCCAAGCAGAGATGGATTTTTCTTGTCCCATCTGTACAGACATCTTCCAAAATCCTGTTGTGCTGTCATGTAGCCACAGTTTCTGCAAAGCCTGTCTGCAGAAGTGGTGGTCAGAGAAACTGATTCACGAGTGTCCACTTTGTAAAAGGCGATCTTCGAAGAGTGATCCACCATGTAACTTGGCTTTAAAGAACCTGTGTGAAGCCTTCTTACAGAGGCTTTCCCTAGAGGAGAACGCTTCGAGGTCTGAGGCTCTCTGCAGCTTGCATTCAGAGAGACTACAGCTCTTCTGTCTGGACCATATGCAGCCAGTGTGTATTGTCTGTCGAGACTCAATAACACACATCAACCACAGCTTCAGACCCATCAGTGAAGCTGCACAGGATTGCAAGGAATCATTAGAGAGCTCCCTGAATCCCTTGAAGGACATGCTGGAATGCTTGAATCAAGTTAAAGTTGACTGGGGTCATACAGCAGAACACATCATGAACCAGGCCAAACACATGGAGAAGTGGATTATGGAGCAGTTTAAGAAGCTTCACCAGTTTCTACAAAAAGAAGAGGAGGTCAGAATCACTGCACTGAGGGAGGAAGAGGAGCAGAAGAGTCAAAATATGAGGAGGAAGACAGAGGCTCTGAGCCGAGAGATAGCAGCTCTTTCAGACAGGATCAGGGCCACAGAGGAGGAGCTGAGAGCTGACAATGTCTCATTCCTGCACAACTACAAGGCTGCAGTGAAAAGAGTCAAGCAGTGCCCCCTGCTGGAAGATTTACAGCTGGGCCCAGGAGCTCTGATAGATATGGCCAAACACCTGGGCAACCTAACTTTTAACATCTGGACCAAGATGAAGGCGATGGTCTCCTACACTCCTGTGATTCTGGACCCAAACACTGCTAATCCAGAACTCCTCCTGTCTGAAGATCTGCAAAGTGTGAAATACAAAAAGATTTACGTAGAGAGACCATTTCCGAGAAATCCAGAAAGATTTGAAGACCATGCCACAGTCCTTTGCTCCAAGGGCTTTAACTCAGGGACTCACACCTGGAATGTTGAAGTTAGAAATAATACAAACTGGGCTGTGGGTGTGACAGCAGAGTCTGTCCCAAGGAAAGGAGAGATTCTAACGGGATACTGGAAAATATGGTTCTGTGATGGTAAATACAGAGCATACTCTCCACCAGTTACAAATAAGGTTCTTTCTGTGCAAAGGCCACTCCAGAGCATTACAGTATGTCTTGACTGGAGAAAGGGAAAGCTGTCATTTTCTGATCCAGACACAAACACACACATTTACACTTTTAAACACACTTTCACTGGCAGGCTTTTTCCATTCATTAATACTCTAGATATAGTCCCACTGAGGATACCACCAGTGGACATCACTACACAGTTAGAGATGTAGATTATGGTTATTAGGCTGATGATGATGATGATGATGATGGTACCTTATTACATTATATCATTTTAATATGCTTATTGCTGTTTGTATTGTTGTGAGATGGGTTGCTATGAAACTTTGTACAGACACTTATGGTCCCCAGAGGATGTATCCTACTGACTTTAGTGATCCTCTGTTTCTGTGGTTTTGAGTGAAACTGTTTGGATGGATTGTCATGATATTTAATAGAGACATTTATGTTCCTCTCAAGATGAACTGTAATAACTTTGATGATCCTCTGACGTTTCGCTTAGTGCCATCATCTGGTCAAAATTTAGATTTGTTTGTTTGGTTTATGATGCATACCTACATAATTATTGGCATCAGTCTTAGCTGTTCTTTGGAGTTCATAATAATTAGTAACTGTTCGCATGCTAACACCATAAACTAAGATTTTGAACATTATAAATATTATGTCTGCTTAATATCGTCGTGCTAGTGTTGTAATTGTGAGCATGTTGGCACGCTGACTTTAGCATTTAGCTCAAAGCATTGTTGTGCCCAGGTACAGCTTCACAGAGCCCCTTTTGTTTGTGTAAAGAATTTAATTTTAATCAAAAACTGCGTTCCAATTTTCATCATTAGAAGCTGTGGCTTCCTCAGTAAGTCGGTTAAGTGCAGCAAACTTTCATTTTCAGACAGGTTGAAATGAGAGAAGTAAAACACTGCCTGTTTTCCATCTCATTATGACTTTGCTATTTACGGGATGGAAGCATTTAAAAGAGCATATGCGCTCACAATGACTTTGAAATAGTATAAATGCATATAACATCTTTCAAATAATATGAACTTTGCTTATGTTGAGTCTTGTTATGTATCCAAATGCTGTTATACGTTGAAAGGAATTTGGTCAAATATGTATCAGTTAAGGTTTTATGACATATCCTGTGTTTATTTGAGCTTGATAGCCATATGCTAACTCCTCTTCTATGGGATTTCCTATTGTACTGATGTGTTGTTTTACAGTACATCAGGTGCTGATCAGTTTCTAGTCACCCACTGGTAGCCTATTTGCCATCAGAATATAGCTAATAAAGCTGTAGTCAATAGACAAGAAATTTTGCTGAGAAGGCAGTTTTCATTCTTATTGTTGATTGATTGTTTTGTGCCCTTGTAGTTACATGATCTTCCAATAATTTTGAAATGACAAACCTTAAACATAGTACACACCAAAAAAATGTAAGGAGTCTCTGTAAGTATGTATGTATTTTGATTTTCTTGAAAATTCTGTTCATCTGATAAACTTCACAGTTAGTTGTTTTCCGTCTCATTATTATTCTGTTCTTTCCAGGACAACAATGTTATCTAAATACATGCTTTACTCTAGGAACTAGTTACACTAACTTTACTCAAGTTTAACTGAAGTTAGCCTGGCTCCAGACTACTGTTTTGGGCGGTTTGCATCTCTGCAACAAAGTTGTCAAGCAATTTTTGGAAATTGTCAAATAAAAGTTTTTTTGTTTTTTTTTTTCTGACAGATTTCCATTCTTGTTTCCATGTGTGTTTCCTCAAAGTAACATATGACATCTTATTGCAATCTGTTTGTCTTGGATGAAAAAGCTTCTGCTTTTTTTTTGCATTATTTACCCTTAAAACAGTTTTATAATTATCCAGGTTAATCAGGCATTGTGATGTTAAAAAAATAGTTGTTGTTAATTAGTATTGAGTAGAAACAGAATACTTTACAACTGCTATCATTAAAAGTGTACAAACTATAGAGTTGGAAAAACAGTAAAATGTATTCATGTTAACAGTGGTGGAATGTGAATGAGTACATTTACCCAAACACTGTACTTCAGTACAATTTTAAGATACTTGTACCTGAGTATTTTATGCTGTGTGCACATGGCTTGTCAGTTGGGCTATGTCTCTTATCATTGCTATGCTGATGATGTCCTGCTTCATGTATTTTTAAATGTGTGGAACTTTCAAATCTTTCCAGTTCTAAAACTGTCTCTTAGATTATTGCCTGGATGTCTAATAGTTTCCTGCAGTTAAATCAAAACAAAACTGAAGTGGTTTGATATTTGCCCCAAATAAAACCTACCCTCCTTCTTATCTACCTGACGGCTCAAATCAATATCATCCAATGTTTTTCTCGTCATGTCTTGGCTATTGTAATACAGTGTGTTGGGGTTTAAGTCAAGAGTCTGTAATACATCTACAATAAGTTAAAAATTCTTATGCAAGATTACCAACTAAAACTATACAGTATTCCCATTAATAAATAAAAATAAAAATAAAAATAAAAATTATAGCCTATATATACATGTATAAAACAACTCATAAACATTGTTATAATTCAGTTTACAAAAAAAACAACTATTGAGTTGCTGCACAAATTGCAAAGGTCTCTGCTTAAAGCAACCTATAGTTTACCAGATTGGGTCAGATACTTGATACAAACAATGAAGTGAAAACAAAATATCACTTCAGTCAGATTATCAGGCTTAGTTTAAAGAAATGGGAAATCTGCGCTCAAACCGTGTTCTATAATTACAAATTGGGCTCAGCAATCTGAAATCTAAGATTGCAGATTGAGTGATGATTTTTTTCCCATTCATTTTGTGATTAATAAATTTCCATATTGTTCTTATCTGATTTAGTTATCTAGAGTCTTGGACAGGAGTCAGGGGGTCCAAAGCACTGTTAAGCTGTTTGATCAGAGGTCTCTACAGTGTATATATTGTATGGATACATCATGTGATGTGTCATGTCATATAATGAGAAACCCATCTTATTTGTTTCCTTAGAACATAAGGTTTCTTGGGGTGATAGTAGCTCAGTCTGTGGGGACTTGGCTTGGAAACTGGAGGGTTGCTGGTTCAAGAGCTGCCACTTTGCCTATTGGGCACTGCAGATATGCCCTTGAGCAAGGCATCAAACCTTTAAACTGCTTCATGGGCACTGTACCTTAGTTACCCCCCCTTGTTTAGTGCATGGGTGTGGTATGTGTATAAAAGAGGGATACTCGAAAAAGGTACATTTCAACTGCCAATTGCCTGACTGTGTGGATTGACTAAAAAATAAAATGAAATGAAATTAAAATAAATAAAAACAAAAATCTTGGTGGGATAATGTGACTCTCCCATCCTGTTGTTAACAAAAGAAATATTTCACATATGGACACTTTGGTGAATGAGTGTGTTTGGATTTCAGCTGTTCATGTGTTTGTAAGAACTTATTGTCTGATTTGTTTTCTTGGTTCCCCACAGGGCTGAGCTGTGAGTGGATGCTGGACCGTTCTGGGCTTCGATATCTTCATTTTGCTACATTTGTTTATTGTATTGGCTGGAGGTGATGGATCGGGTTCCTTGTCTAAAAGGGCTCCTTTACATCCTGTTTCACCTTTTTTAAAAGTACAAGATATGTATAAAGTATGTAATTTTTGTTTTATAATGCCACATTGTAGAAAATTGAAAGACTCTAGCATTGACTTTGCTAACACAGTAATTGCAAACCGTTCTCATTCTGAGATTGTCAAATACAGAGGCTTTGTCCTGCCCCTTGGCTTGTCATAACAGGTCACACTTTAGTTTCTCTATATGATTCACAGCTGAAACATATTGTTACACATGGTTAATGAGTGAAACAGTTGTGGTTAGGTGTGGGCAACAAAAGTACTTGGTTAGGTTTAGAAAGAAAGATCATATTTTGGGTTTAAAGAAGTATGTTGGTCACGTTACATAACAAGATGTAGGTATGTAGGTGATGTAATGTTACATTAAAACAACCTTGATTTTTGGTTTCAGTTTTGGTTTGTAGTTTCCTGGGTGATGTGTTTTTCTTTGACCCATCCACCACCTGTCCCTTCCACACATACGCTCATTAAACCACATCAGCTGCTGATGAATGAGTTTACCTTGGAGTTTCTTGAAAGCTGCATCTGATGAAGATGCTAAAGGGTGCCTTTGGCGTTGATATCACATGCCGAGGGGCGTGACAAACACTGGCATTTGATACCTTGGGAATGAGAATAGGCTGGTAATCAATCACCCCCTAATCTATCAGGGTTAAACTCTGAAAATTGTCAGATTATGTTGTTTTTTGTTATTTTTGTTATCTATGTCATTTTACAACACATTGCATAATCATTTTTTTGATGACGATAGTTGCCAATTAACATTTTTTTACCATCTCTTGTGTGTTTGATTTTACGCATTGTCACTGTTATGGCTTCAAAATGCATGATCAGTACTCACCAACATGTGTTTTTATTTACATGGATCTGTATCTGTTGATCTAATTTGTCTGTTGAACATATGGTAGATGTCCTGGAGATCTCCCATCATGCACTTTTCCTGCATATATAGCAGAATATTCAATGAAGGTTTTAATCATGGTGTATCACACTTCATCTATAGACCACATGGGGACAGTCTTTGCTAGGTCAAGAGTTGATTAATTATTCCCTGATCACACAACAATAAAAATGGCCAGCCTTCTCACTAGAATGGAAAGGTTTTAGTTTTCAAATCAGCTCTGAAAAGACAGGCAGTGCAGCTAAAGGATGCTGTCTGTAGCAGGCAGGATAGAGAGGGACCCCAAGGATAACTCTACTGTGTAACCTGCACACTGATGTCATTTTTAGCCCAGTTTGACACGTATTTCATTATGTATCTAGTTGTTATTTTTGACACAGATTATTGTTTTGTACTTGAAATAGTTCAGACTTAGGATCTGCTGGGCAGTCCATCCTTTCATTTTCAATCAATTGTTTGTTACTTTAATGTCTTTATGAGGACACTAGAAAATCTAGTCCAACCCTACAAGTATTCTTTTACAATAATTACAGTATTGATGTTGTTATAAAAGAATGCCACCCCGTTTGTAAAAAGATTGTAGTGAATTTTTTAGACGTGCCATCAAGAAGTGTTGTAAGCTATTGTATTCAAATGAATAAGCCACATGGATTTTAAAGGTTGTTTGAATTATTAAGTTTGCTGTCTCCTGAGCTGCTAAGATGTTTTAGAAAATGCTATGCCATGGTCACTGTTTGGGTTTTAAATGTTGCTCCATTACTGGCTTAACTGCAGTCGCCTTATTATCATTGTTAGGAATATGTACAATATATTTGGAAAAAGTCTAAATTAAAGGGTCAATTCATCCATATTACAAAACATTATGATTTCAGCCTAGTCGCCAGAAGGAAATGTTACATGAATACGTTACATTAGCTTGTTTCCTACATATCATTTCAATTTATAAAGTGACACAGTGTATGAGCTGACTTTGTCATCAGGAGGTGGAGGGGGTGGTTGAACGGACGGTGGATGGTGTGACACCTAGGCTAGACCAACATGTTCTCATCCCAAGTTGTCACATATTGACGCTTTGTTAGCGGCCTTTCACATCTACGTATTCAACGCATATCCTGTGTTTGCTATTGACAATCCAGGACGCTGCACCCGACGCTAGAACATCAATGCCTAAACTTGAACAAGCACATAGTTAGGTTTAGGCTACAAAAGCATGTGGTTAGGGTTAGAAAAAACCCCATCATGGTTTAGCTCAACAGTCATATGGGAAGTGAACACCAGACTCCCAGGTGAAAGTCCAGGGTTTGTTGGTGGTCCCATCCACCACCACTCCTGCCCATCCTGTAGCTGTAGGGACTTTCCAGCACCCTATAATAAGTCATAACTGGCAGTGTTTCAACTGGAAACTGTCCAGTGGCATATCATATTGCTGCTTAATTAGGCGTTGCTGTGTTTTCAGTGGCTTTTAAGGCATGAAAATTGGTTGTTTTCCATCGGGACATTTTTGTTTTTCCAGGTGGGATTGTGCCCCTGAAATCAGGTATTTCACATCAAAACATGATCTTTTCCTCACCATAACCAAGTGGTTTGTGTGCCTAACTCTAACCATACATTAAACACAGTGTTTTTTGAAACATAAGGTTTCAATGTATTCTGTGAATAATAATGTGGAACTGTAACATATCCGTGGTATGCAGAGCGCACAATGTCAACATTTTTTCTAGTGTTTGGGTATGACAGTATCATATGGCAGAAAAAATAATTGATGCGGAAATATGTCCAAAGAGGTTATTTAAACAATTGATAAACTGAGTGCACAGATTAATATACCAACCAACCTAATCAACAATCCTTGCATTGATAAACCCCGCAAAAACAAATATTTAGAATGATCATTTATTCAGACAAATCTTTAATTGCTGTGTTTTGTGATTGATGCAGCACTTGCAGCAGCTTTTGACTGTGCATGGAGAATAGCCTTCTGAACTGTTGTATAGAGAAATGAACTTCTGTGTAAGTGTAAATACTGTTTTCACAGGTCTCAAGGAAGACTTAAAGTTCTGATACGTCACTGATTCAAAGCCTTGCACTTGCACAAGGACACTCAAACAGGGTAGGGCTTTGAAGCCACACCACCCTGCTGCTTTGAAACAATGACGATGAACATTCTGGCAAGACAGTAAATATTGTGAAGGTAAAAGAAAGTCAATGTGTAACAAAGAGAAGTGAGGACGTTTGTGACCTTGAGAACAAGGAGACTTTTATTTGGAATGAAATGGTGAACACACTGCAGGGAAAAGTGTGTTCGGACATAGACATGAAAGAATTGGAGATCTTGTAATGCTCAAATGAAGGCTCAGGTGAAGTTTGTAATTTGGATGTGTTTTGCAAATGTACAGTGTTGGTTCAAAATTGTGTCACTGATACCGCAAGGGATGTTTCATCATTTGCTATTGTTTAATGTGTGAAATTGTAATAAACATGAAACCCTTTTGCAGACCTCTTGATGTTTTTCATTTGTTGACAGTGGTGTAGCAGGGGGGTTTCTGGGACTTCAGTCCCTCGTGTTTTCTCAAAAGCCCCAAATCTACTAGTCCCTAAAGAAATCTAATATAATGTAACATATGGATTTAAATGGCTCAGATTTGTCCGCTAGGATTCTGTGAACTATTCTTCAGCATAGCATAAGGATTCAAGATTTCTAATACTGTTTACGCCAAATTCCTACTCTACTGTACCTATGTTACATAACAGAAAAATAGTTACATTATACAGTATATTTATTTATTTTTTTTACTTCTTTTTAGGTGGCAGGAGTGAAAATTAGTCCTCCTTCACTGTGTTATGGTTTTAAAATGATAAAGACAGTATAATTAGATGCAAAATAGGGTGTAGGTTCTTCAGGATGATTTTTTTTTTCATTGGCAACTATCATGTTTTTCCCAAATGATGTTCAGATTTTGAGGCATTCTGTTATCTCAAATGGCTTGAAAAATAGTCAATAGAGCTGTCGTGAATGGTGCAAAAAATCTCCCTGGGGGAGCATGTTGTCGGACCCTTCTAGGTTTGGGCTGGGCTCCAAATGTTTACAATGTCTGGCTATGCCCCTACATTGTTAACACATGAATTACAGTATATAGCAGAGGCACATTTAACTAGTAAAACTTAAATAGTATCCCCCTTATCATACAACCTATATTTAATGCCATGTTGTACAAAAACAATGTTTTAGATTTCATTCCCCACTTGACATATTAGTACAGTAATCTAATACCAACAATATTTTTACAAAAACTATACAAACACAATGGAGGTATGAATCATCTGGTTCTCTTTAACTGTAGCCTACTGCTTAGTCCTTCAGTTGTTGAACCCCTGGAGTGGGTGGCACATTTAAACATAGGTATATAGCATGAGGTTTGACACTGTGTTGGTTGGATCTGTATCAACCTGTGTTGTAACATAACAATTGGGAAAAAATGCATTCAGTGAATAAGGTACAAAAAACAAATCTTGTCAAATAAAGACCAAAAAACATTCATGTCTAAGGTAGGTTGTAGGAAAAGCTATCATGATTATGATATATTCTGACTATACAGAGGTTTTGCGAGTAATTTTTTTTTTTTAGAAATGCTTTGTTATTAGTGACGCCTCTCTCTGAGGCTATTAAAGTTATGGAGACTGGCCTTCAGTCAGTGGCTGTAACAGCTCAAATTCAGCCAGCACTAGCAGTGAGTGAACTTTACAATCCATTAACCCATTCACAACTAGAATTACCAACTCACGGCTATATACCTCCATGCACCAGTTAAGTTCTATTCACAGTTTACATCCATGAAAATGTTTTTTTCAGAACATTATGATGTCACAGTGAAGCTGACCTTTGACCTTTTGGATATAGAATGTCATCACCTCATCATTTTATCATATTAGATATCGGAGTATGTTGCCATGGTAACTGCCTCAGGGTTATGCTGAACTGGCTTTGTCAAACATAAGACACAGAGTTTCCCTCATCTCAGGCTTAACATACGCAGAGTTTTCACTAATCTTGTTCTCTGAAATAGGGCCCTGGAGTATTTTGCTTACCTTAATGTAAAGACTGGAAGCAGGGGAAAACAGCTTGCCTGGCTATCTCTACAGTCGTCCCCTCCGACAGATGAAGGTAGTCTGTGGAAATATGGACAATATTCATTCTTGAGGCACAAGTCTGAAAATGGTTATGATACAGGCTTTGGGAAAATAACATTACCGTATCCCCTATTCCCCTCTGTCCAAACTCCACAGAGTAGTTTATTGAAGCTAATTAGGAAAATAACTTGCTAGGAGGATGCAATTTAAATAATCAAACTCCATGGTCCCTTGTTTTTTATCAGAGGAAATGCATCAAATCCTAAAAATAGGAAACACAGTACTGTAGGAGTGGATTTTCAGACAGGAACATATACTAACAAGCTAACAAGAGAGGGGTAGCATCTCACCACAGAGTGCCCCAGGGATGACGTTTTTCTGTAGGCCGATGCAGGAGTTAGCACCGCCCTGGTTCCCTCGTCAAAAAGCCTATGGGATTTTATCATTAGACTTTGGATTACTGCTAAAAATAAGCTCTGTGGCAAACAAATGATTGTGATACTTAAATGTTTTGTTTAGCAAGATAATATTCACAAATGAACACCTCTTTCATGATTACTGAAGCCAGAAGTAAAAACCCAAAGTTAGGCTATAAGCTAACTAGATTATGGTTGCATGTCCCAAAATCACCACAATAAGATTGTAAAGCTGTGATCAGCAAGGTGAGTGGGGTATTTACTGACACATTTTATGTCCTAGAACAAAACATGAAAGTCTCTTAAGCTTGTGTTTACCACAGACCTTATTTCCTAATCTGTTGAACTATTCCTGTAACAAAATAAATAAGGCTACAAGACAGCTATTTGCCAGTCTTGAAATGAACAGAACATATTCTGAAGGCAGACAGTATTTCAGAGACAGAGGTTTAATTTGGACACTTGTAATAAATATGATATGACATGATAACCAATGTGTCCTGTTGAGAAGTTGTCTTTTTAGAATTAATTAGTTTTCAGCCATGTTTCACCAAGAAATAAGCCAGATGGAAACACATTTATGGTTTTCATCTTCTAGAAATCCTGTTCAGCTCTGACAATTTATCGATGTGTTTGCAAGGCCGAAAACTGGCTTAACACTGCTGATGCTGGAATGTGTGTTAAATAAGCAGTCAGTGTTAAAGGCTTCTCTGTTGGCTGTGGGCCCATATAGACACTGGCTTAAGAGGGGATGGAGGTGGATGGACACAGGATCATGTTGCAGAGCCATAACTGTATACGCAACGTGCGTGTGCGCAATGCATTCCATTACGTCCAAAGCCATAACACACACAGCTCTGGCTATTTTGCAATGCACTCTGTGTTTGCAATGTCAACAGATCAGTATTAGAAATATATTTAAGTATGAGGAATATATCAAATACCTCTGGGTGAGACTTTTGTTGGGCCAACTGCATCAAAATCTGGTGATCTTGGGTTATCCTCAACCAAATGAGTGTAGTCCCATGGGTTTTGACAGTTGTGTCATAAACTGTGCATTAAATGGTCCTAGATTAAATGACAGACTACCATTCACCGTCAACCATTAGTGGTGTTTTACCATCTATAAATAGCTGGTGTGCATGCACCTCAGTCATTTACGGCCATACCACCCGGAATACGCCTGAGCTCGGACACTAAGCAGGGTCGGACCAGGTCAGTACTTGGATAGGAGACTGCTGGGAAAAGAGTGCCTGAGGAATGAATCCAAAAACCCAGAAACTAGTTAGCATTTTTACACTCCCGGTTCCCTTGTCTCAAAGGGTTAGGGTTTTTTGAATGGGTTTTTGGTTAGATGCCTGAAATAAGGTCTGCGGTTAACACAAGCTTGAGAGACTTTCGTGTTTTATTCTACTACATAAAATACATCAGTTAATACCCCAATACCCCATTCACTTTTCTGTAACAATCCAAAATCCTGTGGAAAAATACCATTGGCTGTTTGATGACTAACTTCTGCGTTGGCCTAGAGAAAAACTTCATCCCTGGGGCCCTCCCAGTGCTGAAAGCTTGTTGCTCTTATCTTTCATCAGCAGAGGGCGCTGCTCCTTCTTAACTGGAGCCATATTCAGCATGTTTTTTATTTGTCAGTCTGGACGTGGGGCTCTGCATTGTGATTGTGCTTTATGTTTTGCCATTTTCAGCCTTGGCATTCACCATGCACTGGGAAGATGCCTCCCTAAAGTGTGCTGTGCTGCTGATCGGTACACATTTGCTGCTCAAGTCAGTATACGTGCATTAACTCAAAACTAAATGCTGTGTATGTATTTCACTTTGTTGTTTACTTTGATTTCTATTGTAGAAAAACAAACATACAATTAATTATAATACATGTAGAATGTTATCTGGAAAACCTTCACATGATGACATTATTATAACTTTATTCACTTTTTATTTACTAATATACTTAAGCTGACAGATGGCACCACAGTCTCACTTGCAATGCTACAAGTATGATGGTCTTTGTTCCTCTCCTTCATGGTCTATAATCCATCTCCCCAATTAAGCAAGCTAACATGGTGCTTGAGTAACTGTAACATTAACTCAGACTGCTGACTGTGTTAAAAGTAAGACGTTGTTGTAGACCGTCAGCTGTGGCCACATTTCACACTTTTGCTCTTTATCAGTCAGTGGGATGGGTCAGGAGCAGGACAGGTGGGAAAGTCTTCCTCTGGCTTCCTGTAACTGTTATACGTCTGTGGGGAGGTCTGTGTGTGATTATGGTTACAATCCAACTGAGACCTGGAAGGTTTCTATCCAACAGAGATGCATTAGGAAGCAAAGTATTTCCTGTAAATTCACTTGAATGAATTGAAAATCTTCAGTTACAATAGGTTACAAAAAAAAGTTGTAGTGTTAAAGTTAGCCCATAGGATAATGACAGATGCTAAAGTTCATAAACTCAGTGAACATATCAATCTAAATGTGCTGGCTACCATAAACCACTGATCATACCAGACCAAGTAAAGCCCTATTCGGACGGGATTAGTTTTACATAGGTACGTGGGGTAAAGTAATACTTACCAGAGATTTTAGTCGCGTCCGAATGTGCCATGTCAGTAATCATTACTGCATGATGGAGAAACTGTAGAACATATCCTCTTCCAGTGTCCAAAGTACCAAACACAGACAAACACACTCAAAGCAGCATTTAAGAGAAATAAGATACCGTTTAATGTAGCAGATCTATTGAGGAGAAACTCAGGGGATGTTGTGTTTGGAGCGATTGTCAGGATTTTAGAAGCAACAGGGCATGTAAATAGAATTTAATACGTAGTATATTCTGTTCCACCTTCCAGTCCAGAAGGTGGCGGTAATGCACCTAAAAGTTGTTTGCCAACCGCCATACAACGAAAGAAGAAGAAGAAGAAGCAGCAGAAGAAGGAGCAGC